TCCATCCATCCATCCATCCATCCATCCATCCATCCATCCATCCATATCTGTTCTTGCTTCCTTCCATTCATCTGTCCATTTATCCGTCCTTCCATTTTCTCCCATCCATCTATTTAATTTCTCCTATCCATTTCTCTTACTTGCATTGATAGCATTACTAATGAAAATATTATTGATCTGATAATCCAGAGGCTGAGTACGCCTTTCAGCTAAAAAAAGACATCATTCCCCTCATGATGGATCGTAACTACAGACCAGACGGCTGGCTGGGAATGATAATGGGCTCCAAACTATGGATTGATTTCTCTCTACCTCACATCAATAAAGTTGAATCCAGTGTAAAGGATTTGATAAAAGAGCTTGGTGTGAGAGGAAAACTAGGCGATTCTGAGATTATTCAAGGTAATTTAGTACAGATAATGTTAACGGTGATAGTGATGATGATGATGAAAATTATTCATTCGAATTGATGATAATGATAATAATATTGAAACAGCTGTTGATGATGACTTGCTGATAGAGAAAGATTGATAACAGGGGTGCCAGAAGCTAAAAATCTTTGGGGGGGCACTGCAAAAATCTTTGGGGGGGCACTGACGTTTATATTTAACACTATGTGATAATGACAATGTTTTGTTTGATTGCAGACGCATGCGCCGTAAAACAATGACTAAGAACCAATATTTTTGGGGGGAACCAGGCCCCCCCCAAAAATTTGGTGGGTAGGGGGCACATGTCCCCCCAGTTCCGCTGCCCCTGGATAAGGTTGCGGATGATAATGATGATGGACGTGATGGTAGTGGAGATGTAGGTAGTTGTTATGCTGATGGCGACCATGGTGGTCAAAGTTGTTGTTGATGATGATGGTGTTGGTGATGGTGGTAATGTTGTTGATGATGATGATGATATTAATGGTGATGATGGTGATAACATAAGGATGACAATATCGATCTAACTAAAGATGTTTTTAGTTGATAATGATGAAAACAATGATAATGTTAACCCATTGGTAATGTCATTTTATTATATAGATATCGATGAAATACCAGGTTTTCTCTAGCGTCGAAAACTTGATATCTTTCACCAGTAGAAGATACCATATCTTTCACACGTGAAGATATCGCTGTTAAATCGGCTTGCTATTTCAATAAAGAATTTTTGAGCTTTTGTTTTATTTTTATGTTCATCGATATCTATATAATAAACAGAACATTACATGGCCGCTTGGAGATACGCTCACTCGTGAGATATCAATTGAACACTCGAAGATAAAATTCGTATCTCCGCGCGCCCATGTAATATCCTCCATGTCAACACTCTAGGTCTCTTTGATATTTTTGTTGCAAGAATGATAATCTTCATTAAACGTAAGACTACTCTTTCATTTTACAATGATTTTATTTGCTAAGATTTTCAAATCTATTCTTTTTCAGTCCGTAGCGTAGACATTGTAGATGCTAAGCCCACCGTAGATATCAGTGGGTGGAGTAATAATGACGTCATGAATTGGATGAAAGGATTTGGTCTCGTCATAAAAAAGTATAAAATAAATTTTTAGATTTTAGATTTTATATTGCTTTCATCAAGCAATAAATTCTGACGAAAATCGCTCAAACTTGGATTCAGCTGAAACTACAAAGAAATATATGTAGCAATATTTGATGTTGAGTGTATGACGTCACAGACTCAGAATCGTAAAAATATCATACTTTCGTCCTGAATATCGAGAAAACACTTCATACAGTGATTATTGGACCTTTAAAGAGTATTCTTAGGAAGTTTCAGCTGTCCAAGTTTGAGCGATTTTCGTCAGAGTAGCACTTTAACACTTGTCGTAATCGATTTTCTCTTCTTAGTAAAAGTGCAGCTGCAAATCTCACAGGATATATACTCACAAGGCTCCATACCTTTAGGAATGAAGTGGTGAGTAAAAGATAAGCTGGTTGATGTGAAGGGCACATTGATGTCATGATCACCATGACGTTTTTATATCAGAGGACCACAGTGAACCCAATTTAGGCAAAAGCCATGCACGAAAAATGACAATTTTTTTTGGGAGGTTTTTTTTTTGTATTTAAGCTCGGTGCAAGATAAGGCTTTCTCAAAATCTGCCGTCCTTTGTGTACACTGTATCTCTACTGGCGCGCTCGCTCGCTGTGGCTTGAATTAAATACTATTGTGGGATTCAAGAGAGGTGGACGTGGGGCAAGGCTAGTGCAAGATCTGCATTGTTTGTTTACATGGACCCTTTTCACGGGTTCGTGCTACTCCTTAACTTCCTTGAAAACTCCTTGAATTTAATTCACGTTTTCAAGGGCACTTGAAAAGCTCTTGAATTTTACAATTTTAGCGAAACTTCTTGGAAACTTCTTGGATTTTTGCTTTGATCATTACTTGCATAGTTCTGAAATAGATCTAGTCAGAAAGATCGGAAAATCTGAAAGTCGGCCATGTGCAACCATCGTGTAAAACCTTGACATATTTAGCTGAACATGCTCCTTGAAAATTCATTTTTGGGTCCTTGTATACTCCTTGAATAGTCCTTGAATTTTAAGTCGTTACCTCAGCACCTCAGCTTTTGCTATGATATGGGAATAAGAATTTACCAATACGTTAAGGCCACATTTTCTTTTACGGGTATTGAGCAGAGAAATCGGTTTTTTTCTCTCTAGAGTCCCGAGTTTTACTATTCCTCCCTCAAGGAAGACTTTGGCTTTCCCAGAATGATAGACGTACTCATATTCAGCGATGAATTGAAAAAGTTATTGAGCTAGACCTGTGCTGATATTCTTCAATCCATCCCATCCATGAACCATCCCCAATCCATCCATCTCATTCTATGCATCTATCCATCCATCCATCCATCCCATTCTATGCATGCATCCATCACATTCTATGCATTCATCCATTCATCCATCCCATTCTATGCATGCATCAATCTCATTTTATGCATCCATTCATCCATCCATCCATCTTATTCTATGCATGCATCCATCACATTCTATGGATTTATCCATCCATCCAACTCATTCTATGCACCTATCAATCCATCCATCCATCCCATTCTATGCATGCATCCATCACATTCTATGCATTCATCCATCCATCCATCCCATTCTATGCATGCATCAATCTCATTATATGCATCCATTCATCCATATTCTCTGGGTTTTCTCTCTCTCTCTTTCTCTCTCTTTCTCTCTCTCTCTCTTTTCTCTCTCTCTTTCTTCCTTTCTCTCTTTCTTCCTTTCTCTCTTTCTTCCTTTCTATCTTTCTTTATTCATTCAAGAATTTATTTATTTTTTATAAATTACTTGAAATCGTAAGTTATTTTGCTTCTATGAAGTTTAGTAAAATGAAAGTGACCTAAAAATTGCTTCCTCTTCTAACCAATCAAGAAGCGGAAAAACACACATCATCCAATC